TATATATATATATATATGTTAAATTGAATCATATTTTATTAAATATTTTCGAATGAATATTGAAGGCAAAATTCCTTATAAAATAAACTAAGCAACATAAAACTTACCTAAAAATCCATACTCGAACACCATTTGCCAAAGACTCTTCGAGGAGAGGAATTATAGTCGATGGACTATCTTTCCAATTGTAAAAAAGAGGATCACTACAAAAGGGAAAATAATTGTTGGGTTGAGAAGATAACGCAGACGAGTAGCAATAACAACAACCCAGTATAATCCCACTATAATAGGGTCTGGGGAGGGCAGAACTTACCCCTATCCTGGGATAGAAAGGCTGTTTCCAATAGAACCTCGGCATCCTTCCCTCCAAGAACTCCCCACCTTGCTCTTGGGGTGACTCGAACTCACAACCTCTTGGTTGGAAGTGGAGGTTGCTTACCATCAGAGCAACCACTCTTGTCTTAAAATTTATAGAAATGAATACAACGGACAGTATCTGTTGAAATTTGTTCATTTATAATTACCTGCAAGCTTCCCAATCATAACTGATATTGGTGACATTAGCGTGGAGCGCCTCTTGAACATCAGATAAGACATAGCAATCCTTACATTATTATTCATCGCGTAAATTAAATAATCTCTCCATTATAATATCAACATAAAACAAAACGACAAATACAAGTTATCCCACTTACAGAAGGTAATTTAGGGTGTTTGGTGAGATTGCCATCGTGGCACAGAGGAAAATAAATGTTGTAGATGTCAAGATTATCGGTGTTGTTATCTGAAACTGCACTTGCCTCGTTGTACTTTTCCTCATCGTAAAAATCGGAGTAACAGTATTTCTGGATATCAAAGAAAGTTCGATCTGATATTAGGGCATGAAAAGCAAAGTATTCATACATTCCTACGTTATCTGTATCTTCATTGATCACTGCATTCCCGATCTTCAATTTGTTGCAACAATAATCCATCAGACGTGGTATGAAATTCATAAGAATATTTAACTTATATGCACTAACAACGTAAATAATTAATTAGAGAACTTACAATAAATCCTTTTAGATTGATAAGAGTTTTGTTGGCGCGCTTGTTAAGGTGAAGAATTGCATGTGCCAATTGAGGTACATAATGACTAGCATAGCTTTCACCAGAAATGTAAAAATCTCTGTTCTTGTACTCGGGAAATCGCTCGAGCCAATTCAGTAAAAATACAACAT